TATATAAACAAAATTACCACATATAAACTAAACCCAAAAAAACCAAAAATCTATACAAACAAATAAACTAAAACAGATATCACCACTAAATTACCTAAATAATAAACTAAAAAAAAACGCTGATACAGATCTGAAACTAAAACATCTAAATAAATATCTAGATAGATCTCAAAATTAAACATCTATATAAACAATAAACAAAATTACCACATGCAAACTAAATCCAAAAACTAAACATCTATATAAACAAATAAAAAACAAATCGGAGAAAAATAAACCGCTGAATACAGATCTGGAAAAGGAAAAGCTTACCTGAGTGGAGGAGGAGGCTGCCGGTGGAGGTGAAAGTTGAGAAAGGGAGAAATGACCGAAGAAAAAAGAAAAAGAAAAATGAGAAAGAACGAGGGTTTCGTCCGTTTTATAACAAGTATTTTCCGAGGGGAACCGTGGGTCACTCCGCCAAAAATTACTTTTATTAATCTTCGTACTTTGCCTTGGTCGGAGCGCCTTATTTCCGACCGAAGCCGTCGGTCGGTTGAAATTTTTTAGTTTCATATAAATAATCGTGTTTTCCGTCCAAGCTCACTGAACTGCTGAGACCTTCCAATTTTAGGAAGGCTAGAATGGTTAGGAATCACAACAAAAATGGTCCAGAACAATGAATTCAGGCTCAATGAAAACTCTCAGAAATTATAAAGACTATGAATTTTTCTCAGTCAATCATGTAACGTGATTCGTTATTATTGGAAAGTATTCACGAGGAAAATTATTACTTTTATTTGCAAAGTGAATGATAAGCAAACAATGTTTTCTTTATCTTCCTCAAAAGTTAGAAAAAATACTAAATTATGTGACATGATCCTTATCAACCGTTATAATTCTGGTGTTCTAGGTAGGAGATTGAGTCCTCAATAAATATGCATTCTACAGATATAATAGAGAAGTAAGAATGGCTATGTTCTTGGTTTCTTCTTTGGATGGTGATGATATCTGTAGTGAATTGCTTACTCTAAAAGCCTGTTCTTGCTCTGCCTTATCGTTTTCTCAGTTTTAGTAGCGTCAATAGTGGAAATTGCATGTCGTGATCATCTTGAAAAAGACTTGACTCCATCTAAGACGAAAAATAAAATCAAGCTAAAGCCCATTAGTACTCATGTTTCTGATTGAGGAAGTACTGGTAGCAAAATAGTGTGTATTTTGGTGGTGCTGGTGGTTTTGGCGGCCAAGGGCGAATCCAACATATAACTTTTATCCGAAACCTGGATTTTCGGTATAAAATTCATTAAAATAACTGAAAAAATTGAGTTATGAACCCATAACTCAAACAAGGTGATGGGTTCAATAGTTGAAGTCAAAATCTTGAATTCTAGATCCACCTCTGGTGGCGGCTATGGCGTGGTGGCTGCGGTGGTGGTGGCTGAGTGACGGTAAACTTTTGATATTTTATTTTTTGGTAATAATTGCGAAATATTACCATTAATAAACCAAATGATTCTTTACAACCTGTTGGAGCGATCAGTATTATAACCACCTCCTAGGAAGTGTTACAATCTCTGAATCTCCGAAACAACAAACAAACAAACAAACACTAGTTACAAATCCTTTGTATCAAACTCTAACATTTCGTAGCTCTCTTTATATTCCCTATCTATTCTATCCTTTCCCTAATCTCTCTTTGTATCTGCCCTATTACAAAATCTGTATTTACATCTATGTTTCTAAATATTTTTCAGTTTCTTGCTTTCCAAGTATAGTATATAGTTGCTCTCACAATTGCAGCAGCTACCTCCTTGAATTTCTTCCATCTCCTCCTCTTAATCCATCTTATGCTAGTTGCTGGATCTGCTTGTGCTAGTTGAATCCCCGCCCAATTTGTTATAGCATTTCTTACCATTGTGATCCAATTACATGTGGTAAATAAGTGGAGCTGTGTTTCCCTAGTATTTGCTGTACATAGGCTGCATTTGTTATCGGCATTAGGCACTTGTAGTCTCTACAATCTTTCCTTTGTTAGCAACCTCTCTTGATATGCCAACCATAGAATTACTCTTTGTTTAGGCAGCATGATAGCACTCCACACCAGATTTGCAACACTCATTTTTGTAGGATTCCCTAGCAAAGTTAAATAGCTTCTGCTTACAGAGTATTCACCTTTAGTGGTCAGGACATGCTTACCATTCTGATACAAATGCTTCATCATATCTTTAAGGGAAATTATTTTTTTTCCAGTACCAGCTACAATCCCGTGGGGGAGTGTGATTCCGGACATCTCCATTTGTCTTCAAATATACGTCATTTACCCATTTTACCCATAACACATCTTTCTTCACAGCCACTTGCCAAGGCAGTTTGCCCACATATGCTATATTCCATTTCCTGCAACTTTTAATATTAAGCCCCCCATATTTTTTATGCACACACACTTTGTCCCAAGCAACTAATGCCATTTTCCTTCTCTCCTCATTGCCCCCCATAGGTAATCTCTGTATTTCCTGTCGACCTCGTTCAATACACTTTGAGGCAAGATGAAAACTGCGCCCTAGAAATTGTATATAGAGAACAATATTGCATTGATCACTTATAATCTACCAGCATAGGAAAGGTTCTTTGCATAGACTTGCTTTATTCTTGTTGTTATCTTTTCCACCAATTGAAAACACTCTAGTTTATTCTACTTCTTAGATGAAAGGGGCAATCCCAAGTACCTAATAGGCAGTGTCCCTTTTGAGAATCCTGTATACTGCAAGATCCTAGTCTGTTCATCCTCTTCCATGCCAGCTAGAAAGATGTTTGACTTCTCTATGTTTTCCACCAAGCCTGTCACAGCACTAAGGTGGTTTAGTGCTCCCATCATTCTGCTTATAGATGCTAAATTTCCTTTGCAAAAGACCATCTGCAAAAATCAGGTGTGTCAACTTGGTAAACTTACACGAATGATAATATCTGAAGTCCGGCAAGACCAGTACAAACAAAAGTGGTGATAGAGGATCACCTTGCCTCAGTCCTTTTCTACCTTCAAAGAAGCCAAATCCTTCCCCATTAACCTTAACTGTGAATTTTGTAGAGGTTACATAAGTCATGATCAATTGAGTAAATGATCTAAGGAACCCAAATCCATTCAAAGCTTCTTCAATGAAATCCCAACTCACCATATCATATGCTTTCCTCAAGTCAATCTTCATAAGATACCTGAGTGATATCTTTCTGCTGTAGTATCTTAAGAGGTCATGGCATATAAGCACATTGTGAATGAGTGATCTACCCTCAACAAATACTTCCTGATTCTTATCCACAATCAGTGGAAGTATGTCCTTAAGTCTTGCACAGATCATTTTAGATATGCATTTGTAAAGGACATTGCAACAATGATATGGGTCTAAATTGGCTGGCATTCTATGGCATCTCCACCTTAGGTATCAGGGTGATTGATGTTGAGTTGATCTGTTTTAGTAGCTTTCCATTCTCAAAAAATTCCAGTACAGCTCCTACTGCCTCCTCTCCTACCACACTCCAAGTATCTTGGAAGAATCCACTTCCATAGCCATCTGGCCCCGAACTTTTATTTTTATCAATACCAAACATTGCCTCCTTTACATCCTTAGCTGTATAAGGTCTTAGTAATTTCAACTGATCCTCTACAGATAAAACATATCCATTCATTAGAAACTCCCAAATGCATTAGTTATTTCCTTTTCTTTTTCCCCCAGAAGGTCTTTATAGAAGTCCACTAGTATTTGAGTAACAACTTCCTGGTCTGACTGTAGCCTGTCATGTTTTTCCCTTAACTGGATAATAGCTTGTTGCAGCTTCCTATGTTTAATTATGGAGAAGAAATACCTTGTATTATCTTCTCCCAATTTTATCCATGTGGGCTTACTCCCTTGTTGCAGGAATAGCTCAACCAAATACGAGGATCTTTTGAATTTCTGATGTGCGTCTTTTTCCTTTTGCTGTAGTTATTGGTTATGTGGATCCTTTTGTAGTGTTTACTAAACTTGCATCAGAACTTGCCTATCATCTTCCACTTTGGTGAGTATATTTCTGAAATGTTGACCATTCATCTTACTCATATCACTTTTCAACGGTTTCATTTTCCTCACTATCCTCATCATTTGACATTCTTCTATGCTCAAGTTCCATCCAACTTTCACCCTTTCTAGAAATAAAGGATGACTAGACCACACATTACAATATTTGAATGGTTTTCTTCTTTTCTTTGGGGAGTTCGGCAAAGATAACTTCATTGGACTATGATCACTAATCTCCTCAGGCGGGAAAGTAGTGCTGAAGTCAGGCATACTATCCAACCATTCTGAGTTCACAAATATCCCGTCAATTTTTGAGAAAAATCTACTTCCACCATGTTTATCATTCCATGTATACATGCTCCCCTGTTTAGGCAATTCGAGGAGTCCACAGTTCTCCACACATTCATGAAATTCCTTAACCTCCGCCATACTAACTGGATTGCCCCTAATTCGATCATCCATGTACAATACAACATTAAAGTCTCCCATTATAATCTATGGTTGACTAACATTTGCACCCACTACTTCTAAATAATTCCATAAAGGTCTTATTTCCTCTTTAGTGTTGAAAGCATACACCACTGTTAGCATCATTATTTTTTGTAATGATATATACACCACTTCACATGTAATTCATACTAACTATATTCTTCCATTTGGACGGTAGTCTAAGTTAGTCATAGACCCCCATCCTCCAAACAATTTATTAGCTACTTGCTCAATCTTGTTTCCTTTTATTTTGGTCTCCATTAGACCTGCCAAACCAATTCCTTCTCTACTACAAAGGAGTTTTACCTCATTTTGTTTGTTAGGGGCATTGAGGCCCATAACATTCCACCATAAAATATTATTATTTTCCTATGAGATAGGTAAGTCAGTACCTCCCCCTTTCCTATGTGGGCTCCTAGGTAACACTTTGTTAGGCTCTGGCCTATCCATTATCTGGATGAATTCTGTTGACCTCCTTCCTGCTCATGATGTTTTGGTGGATGTTTGATAGTGTTCTAAGGTGTCACCCAAGCTGTTCTTCCTATGTTCTGGTGGTTCTTTACATTGCCTCGAGTTCCTTCTGTGTCCCCTGTAATCTTCTGTGTATTCCCTTTTTCCTCTTCCTTATTTCCATCTGTTGTCCTCTGCTTAGCTTTAGTTGCTGGGATTACATCTTCTTCTATCTAATCTTTTCCTTTTTGATGCTTTGGGGAAGCTGGCTGATCATTTTTCCTTTTCCTGCATTCCTCCTCTGAGTGCCCATATTTGTGGCAACAGGCACACAAGGTAGGTTTCCAATAATATTGCACCTTCTGCTCAATCGGGTTCCCTTTCTCATTTCTGAAAATTACTTTATCCGGTAGATTTGGATCAACTTCCACTTCAATCAATAATCTTGCGAAATTCAACCCCATCTTTTTCTCTGTGTTATGGTCCACCATTATAGCTTTTCTAATAAGACTCCCTATTTTACTCAGACCCTTAAGACTCCAGTATTTGAAATTCAATCCTGGCAATTTCACCCAAATAGGGACTGTATATAGTGCTTCCCTTGTGAACTTCGTATCTGGCTCCCAAAATTTTACAATCAATGGTTTGTTGTCAAAATGATATATCCCTCCTTGGATCACATCATTTTTACCAATAGCAGTATCAAACCAAACCAGTACTATACCATTCTTTAACATAAAGACCTTATTTATTCCATGTTTTCCCTAAATCTTCTGAATATAGCCATTCAATACAAAACAATGATGGGTAAGCTCCTAACACGTAGCATACTATGTCATTTTTCCAGTATTCTATTTCCGTGCTTATATCTTCTAGTTCAATTTCACAGATGGACGACTCACCATGTTTGTCCGGTGAAACGAATTTCAGCTTGAAACCAGCATTCGACACTATTTGCTATATCAAAGTTGTCCCAAATTGATGCCTTCATCTCCAAATCTGCCAATGCTTCCACCTCGTCTGCCCATGATAGTTCACTCTGACTTCCCGATGCTTGTGAGTCCTTCCTCCACTCCGATTGCTCAATTGTATCCACAAATTCCATAGTTTGCCCTAGCTCTATTTCAATGGTTTGTTCCGGTACATCCTCTCGATCAGTGGCGAAAGCAGAAATTTTATTTAAAATGTTTAAACTTGAAATAAGTAAAAAATCCCCGATAAAGGGTGTTCACTATATGTTATATACCATTAAAATCTAATATTTTACCTATATATACAATATAATATTTTGTCAAAGGGTGTCAGTTGACCACCCTTAAGGCTATGTACCTTCGCCCATGCTCTCGATTAACAGTAATTGGTGGTGTTCCTTTCGATTTCTGCTGCCCAGCTCCACTTGCAGCAGATCCCAGAGCTTTGATTGCCTTCGGCGAAGGGATTCTCGTTCTCTTTCCCCCATGGACGCGCACGTTAGTTATCATGCGCCGAGAGAAAGCGAGACCTTAGACTTCTAAGGGTGTATTTGGTACGGAGGAAAATGTTTTCCTAGAAAAAATTTCATGGAAAATGAGTGATGGTTATCACTCATTTTCTCTTGTTTGGTTGGTGAGTGAAAACCTTTTTCCGGAAAATATTTTCTAGTGTTTGGTTAGAGAGTAGAAAATATTTTTTAGAAAAATAATTTTTTATGCTATTCACCTCATCCCCCTTCTCCAAGTCTTAATGTTCCCTGTGCTCTCCCCTCCCCCTCCTCTCTCCCCCTTCAAATATCCAACATTTTCATGACTCTATTTTCTTCAAGAATTTAATTATTCTTCCATAATTCACACAAACCCAAAGGAACTAATGTGTTGCTTTACTATTTTATGCAAAAACAACGTTGAACTTGTGCTCCATAATTAAAAAAAATTTACTCTTTTTTTGGTTGAAAACGAAAGTATTATTTCTACATCATGAAAAGAAAGTACTCATTTTGTTGAAATGAAAGAAAATACTTTTAATACATCATTTTGTTGAAATGAAAGAAAATATATTTCCTACATCACGAAAAGAAAGTACTTTTTTTGTTAAAATAAAAAAAATATTTTTTATATCATGAAAAAAAAATATTCATTTGTTGGAATAAAAAAAAATACTCTATCTATAACATAAAAAGAAAGTANGGAATGGGGAATGGGGGAAGGTTGGAAAAGAGTTTTGGAAAATATTTTCCTTCTCTTGATAGAGAAAATATTTTTCTCTAATTGGAGGAAAATGAGTGGAAAATATTTTTCAAAACATTTAAGCCAACCAAATATGAGAAAATTGGACGTACCAAACACACCCTAAATATAAAACTTTTGATATTGCGCCGAAAGTGCTTTGTTAAGTTTCCTTATTATTTTCTTTAGTTTGTCCGCTTTACTTTAATATATGTATGACAATTCCTCACGAAATATCAAAGCCTTTCTCAGTTTTCAGACTCTATAATTTTGACAAATATCTCAAGCACAAGGCGAACAATCTCACTTCCTCTCTAAACCATCTGATTTATGCTGCAAATAATTCCTCAGCTTAGGAAATTTGGAAGCTTTTCTCTTCTTTAGACTCGCATAACAATGAGTCAATGAGTAACATGATAACATCTCTAGGACAAGTCAAATTTCAATTAGGATCATCATCATTTGAATGAGTAACAGAATTCCGCCATCCAAGTAACATTCCAACCAAATAAAACAAGTAAAAGTTCCAAAAATCACAAGTACAATACACTAATTCTTCCCATCGTAGCCGGAGTCAGACACTGGATTAGATCGACAACTGTGCGTGAATTCATGCATTAGTTTCTGCAGTCGATCAAGTTCTAAAAAATCTGCTTCAAACATTTCTGTCACCTCTTGCATTTGTCTCCGCAATGAATCCATCTCTTCTTTTTTCCGCATTGCCTCTAACTTCCTCTGTGTTGCCTCCAACTCACCCTGATTCACAGAGGACTGTGAAGAATAAGAAGCAACAGGCGATCCTGGCGATTGACGACTGAATGAACACTCTGATCCAACGCCGTAGGCTCTCTCCTTATGTAGGCCACCACCAACCTTAAGACAAATGTCCACATTATCAGATGGTTTGCTTGGCCTATCTTGATTGTCGACTGACTGATTCTGAATGTCTTCCAAATTTTGTTTATACTCATTCTGTAAGAAAAGTAATCATAATTATATAAATGAACTTAGTTAAAGAAAACGAAATAAGAAGTTTATTTGGATCTTACACGTTTGCTTGGCCTGCGATTCAACCCAAACCTTTTCTTCATCCTCCTTTTCATGGTGTGTGTTTCCTGGAAGACTTCATGATCACGAGACACAGATCTCTTGTAAGCCTTTTCATGCAAAAGAAAGAATAGGTGTTTATTAGAAATTCATGACTATAGTAAAAAAAAAATAAGATAAATATATCAAATAAGTTACCAATCTCCTCCGGGGAGTTCTCGTGGTAACTAAACCCTCGTTGTGCAACGAGCTGCCCTTTTCAGATGCTCGAACGCCCTTTGCCTTACCACTCTTCTTCTGAAAAGCCTCCTCATTAGTAAAATTTTGAAAATTCATATCCATATTAGGCGCGATCTCTCCATGATCAGTCCAGAAATAATATTTCTTTTTGAACCCCTTTTCATAAAGATGAAGTTTAATATCCTCCGGCTTCAACAACTTTCTGCACTTACACTTCTTACAAGGACACCTAATCGTGCCTTCATCACGAAATTGAGAAAGCGACATTGCATAATCAATAAATCCAGCAACCCCTTGTACAAATTCTTCCCTCAACCCTCCACGATTGGGGTAATTCCTTTTATACATCCATCTACGTTGTTGTTCCATCTACACAATCAAGAAATAAATAATTCACTTCTCAAATTCTTCAATATAACAATCTTTTAGATATTCTCAATTAAATATATATGTTAACTTATAAGGAGCACAACCTTTCGATTTTCTCTAATTAAGTGTCTCACTCCCACATTTTTGTCATGTTTCAGGGTTTTCTGGCTATGTTACGCTAGGCTTTCTCAACAATTGCTACTTGTCCGTGACTAAAGAATTAAAGTTTCAATGCATATCTTTTTAAATTTGATGCTAAATATGTTTTCAGACACTACAATTTTTTCACTTGAATATATTAAGCGCTTCTAAACTAATTAGCCAACGTCAACTATACAGCATAAAATTTTCATCTACTAAATGGAATTGAAAAACGCAACAATTATCAAACAAAGATAGCACAAAACTATAAATATCATTTCAAACAACTATCACATATCGTTTTTACAGATTTTTATCAATTACTTTCACACAAAAAACCTAAATCCTAATAAACTAAATACAGATCTGCAAAAAGGAAAAACAATAAATAAACTACAAGAAAAACATAGAAAAAGAAACACTGAATAAGATCTGAAAAAGGAAAAACAGTAAATACAAAAAAAATAAAAATAGAAAACTTACCTCAGTGACTTTATGCACTAGTTTCTCAAATTGAGCAAATTTTAAACGACCTGCTTCGTGCTTTTTTGTCAGCTTTTGTTGTTGTCTCCGCAATGAATCCATCTCTACCTGTTCCCGCATTGCCTCTAACTGCTTCTGCGCTGCCTCCAACTCATCCTCATTCACTAAAGACTGTGAAGAGGAAGAAGAAGCACCAGACAATCTTGGCAACTGACGAGTGAATGAACACTCTGATCCAACGTCGTAGGCTCTCTCCTTATGTACGTCACCAACCACCTTAATACTAATGTCCGCATTATCAGATGGTTTGCTTGGCCCATCTTGATCGCCGATCGACTCATTCTGTATGTACTCCTCTAAATTCTTTTTGTACTCATTCTGCAAGAAAAGTACAATTATTATTATACAAAAAAAACTTTTTAAAAGAAAACGAAATAAGAAATATATTTGGATTTTACATTTGTTTGCTCAGCTTGAGGTTCAACCCAAACCTTTTTTCCATCTTTCTTTTTCTTTGTGTGGGTCTCCTGGAGGACTTCATCACAAGATACAGATCTCGTGTAAGCCTTTTCATGCAAAAGAAACAATAGGGGTTTAATAGAAATTCATGAATATAGTTGAAAACTAAGATAAATACATCAAATATGTTACCAATCTCTTCTGCTGAGTCCTCACTGTAACAAAACCCTCATTGTGCAACGAGCTGCCCTTTTCAAATGCTCGAACACCCTTTACTTTGGCACTCTTCTTCTGGAAGGCCTCCTCATCAGTAAAATTTTGATAATTCACATCCATACTAGGCTCGATCTCTCCATGAGCAATCCAGAAATAATATTTATCTTCGAAACCCTTTTTATAAAGATGAAATTTAACATTCTCCGGCTTTAAAAACTTCATGCACTTGCAATTCACACAAGGACACCTAATAGTGCCCTCATGACGAAACTGAGAAAGCGACATTGTATAATCAATAAATCCATCAACCCCTTGTACAAATTCTTCCCTCAACCCTCTACGATTGGGATAATTTCTATTATACATCCATCTACGATGTTCAGGTTGCGGACTATTCGACTAGAGGAAGAATCTTTATTAAATAGGATGCCTCCCAAGCGCCGAGGGCCTTTTCGTTGTCATCACTTACCTAGATCGATATGGCTAGTTTTCTAGCGAGATTTCTAGCTTGAATTAAGGCTTCAAAGCCCCTCTCCTCTCTCTGTAACTAGAGAGGTAGGCAAACCTGTAAAATAAGTAAAATCACAATCAAGAAAAAAATAAGTAAAATATTTCACTTCTTAAATTTTTCAATATAAGAATCTTTTAGATATTCTCAACAAGTTAAATTATACGGAGAAAAACCCTTCTATTTTCTTTAATTTAGTGTCTCCCTCCCACCTTTAAATAAAATCATGTTTCAGGTTTTTCTGGCTACCCCATGTTACTTGCTAAGCTTTTCTTATCAACCTTTTTGTTTTCAATAAAGCAATCTTTTAGATATTCTCGACAATTGCCACTCGTCTGTGATTAAAGAATTAAAGTTTCAATGCTTATCTTATATTTGATTCTAAATGCTACTATGTTTTTTCGACACCACAAGTTATTAATAATTAAAATTGAATGTCGTGATGACTTTATAATTTAGAGTCAACTACATATTTTTGGTGTATTGAAGAATATCCACTATAGTTTTTTCACTTGAATGCATTTATACACTTCAAAACTAGCCAATATCAACTATACAACAGAAAATTTTCATCATCAACTAAATGGAATTGAAAGCTCAACAATTTATCACAAAGATATCACCAAACTATAAATATCCATTCAAAAAACTACTCCTTCGGTCCATATTAGTTGTCGTAGTTACTAAATATATCTAGTCCAAAATAGTTGTTATTTTAGAAAATTAAGGTATAATTAATTTTTTTTTTCTATTTTTCCCTTAGTATTAAATGTTCTTGAAAGTAAAAACATTGACTACATAGCGTAAAAAACCTAAAAGTGAAGAGTATTACAGGGTATAGTAGTCAAAAAATACGCTTATTAATAGTTTCTCAGGGACATGTAAAAGAAAAACGGACAACTAAGTGGGCCGGAGGGAGTAGCATAAATCATTTTAACTGATTTTTTTATCAATTACTTTCACATTAAAAACTAAATCCCAATTTCACATGCTTAAACAGTAAATTTAGAATGAACAATAAACTAAATACAGATCTGAAAAAAGGAAAAACAGTAAATAATCTACAAGAAAAACAAAGAAAAAGAAACGCTGAATACAGATTTGAAAAAGGAAAAATAAATTTAAAAAAAAAAAAAGAGAACGAAAAAATAACGCTGAAGCCTGAATAAGATCTGAAAAAGAAAAAAGAATAAATAAAAAAGAAAGAAGAAAATTTACCTCAACGAAGGAGGAGGCTGCCCGGGGGGGGGGGGGTGTGACAGTGGAGGGAGAAGAAGAGAGAAATGGGAGACGCCAGAAATGAGAAAAGAAAAGAGAGTTCTGTCCGTTTTATATCATTTCAATTTCCGACTGAAACTGTCGGTCATTCCATCGGTCGGAAAATCATTTTAAATTATTTCCGACTGAACTCGTCGGAGATATATACACGTTGTATGTATAATATTGATATTTTTCTATAGCAAAATTCCATGAATAATTTGCATTTTTCTAGTAGCAGAGGAAGAGGAAGAGAGAAAAGGAAGAAGTCAGAAATGAAAAGAAAAAGTGGGTTCTGCCCTTTCTATAACATTTCAATTTCCGACCGAAACCGGGAAAATCATTTAATCTTGGTTAGATCGCTTTTTCCGACGAAATGCGTCGGAAATATATACACATGTATATATATGGATTTTTAAATAGGACAATTCCATGAATAATTTGCATTTTTCTAGTAGGGCTAAGAACAGCTGTGACATTCCAATTTTAGGAGACTAGAATGATCAAGATTCACAACAAAATTGCTCGAGAACAATGAATTTAGGCTTAGAGCCTGTTTGCCCAAATTTCCTGGAGGCTAAAATAAAAATACTTTTCAAAAAATTTAAGGTGTTTAGCTGAGACGAAAAGTACGAAAAGTACTTCTGAGCACCGGTATAAGCTATTTTTCTGCTTTTAGAGAAAACTACAAATTTTAACTTTTTCTAAGAAACAGAAATAAAAATAGACAAAAATCTTATAATAAATTTATATTTTCTAAATTATCACTCATTAATTTAATATTTTTCTTTTTTCTTTTCTTTTTCCTTTTTATTTCTATATACCTTTAATCTCTTTTTTATTTTAATCATATTTGTATTCTCTTCTTCCTATTTCTAAGAGTAGATTTTAAAATTATATTGAATTTTATATTTTGACATATTTAAATTATCATATAAACAATAAGTAATATCAAACACTAAATGTTATATCTTTGGAATAACTATATTATATTGATTGGAATTTTTAATTTATATTTTTACTTTACGCTTTATATTTAATTAATTTTTTAAAATAAATTTTTTAATTTATTTTTCTTTTTTAAATAATACTAATTGCAAATTAAATATTTATTGTCTTTTTTCGTAATTTGATACTTAAAAATAATTTTTTTTAAAATTGGCCACACATAATGAGCTTGCAAAAAGCACTACTCAAACGAATTGGTCAAACACAAGCTACTATTGCAAAAATACTTTTGATCAAAAGCAATTTTCAAAATAACCAGTTTTTGGCGCCAAACGGGCTCTTAGCGAAAGATCTCATCCTTAAATAATTATGAAGACTATTCTTGAGAGACAATCTTCATGGTAAATAATTATGAAGACTCTGGATTCTTATAGAAGCAATGGTCAAAGATTTCCAGAAAAGTCATTAAATTACAGTACTATTATTCTCTTTAACGAGGGAAACATTACTTTTTATTGTGAAGAGTTTGAAGATCAACAAACAATTGTCTTTTTGCTCAAAAGTTAGAAAAAATGGCAAAGCTATGTGACATTATCCTAACAAACAGTCGTAATTCTTGTATTATATGTATTGGAAATGAGTCCTCTATAAATGCATTCATGTTCTGCAGATATAACAGTGTAAAAATATAATGGCTAGGTTCTTAGTTTCTTTTTTAGATGGTGATGATAGTTTTAGCAAAGCTGGTGCTAGGATTAGCTACTCTGGAGGCTTGTTCTTGCTCTGCGTTAACATTTTCTCGGTTTTGGTGGTGTCAATGGTGGTATTTTCATGCACTGATGATCCTGAAAGGGACTTGTCTAAGAAGAAAAAGATAATCAAGTCTAAGCCCTCTGGTCGTTGTGTTAGTGGTGCAGCTACTGGTAGCAACATCATGATTTTTGGTGGTGCTGGAGGTGTTGGCAGTTGCTGTGGAGGTGGTGGCTGTGGTGGAGGCGGCGGTGGTGGTTGCTGAGTGGTTGTAAACTATCTTATTCTGCTATGACTTATAACAACAACAACAACATCCTAATATAATCCCACAAGTGGATCTGGGGAGGGTATGATGTACGCAGCCTTATTCTTACCCTGGCAAGGCAGAGAAACTGTTTTTGATAGACGCTCGGCTAAAGAAGATGAAAGAGGCCTTGATAGCAAGTAATAGCTACACAAATAATTAGAAAACTAAATCGAATATAGCAACAAAGAATATAAAACAGGTACCGATAACAAGTAATAGCAAGACAATATATGTAGAAAACTAAATCCAAGGCACCAAACGAGAATATGAACGAATTACTGCCAGCAAACTACGGAATTACTGATGGCAAGTAATAACAGAACAAGACATGCGAATATAGCACACTAAGGAAAAAAAGGTACCGTACTAACACTAAAACTATCGAACTATAGAAGTCAAAGAGAAACGCACGACTACCTACTAACTTTCTACCCTAATCTTCAACCTCCACACCCTTCTATCTAGGGTCATGTCTTCGGTTAGCTCAAGTTGCGTCATGTCCCGTCTGATCACCTCTCCCAAGACTTTTTTGGCCTACCTCTACCCCTCCTCTCACCTCCCAAGGCCAACCTCTCACGTCTCCTGACTGGGGCATTTGTGTTTCTCCTCTTAACATGCCCGAACCATCTCAACCTCGCCTCACGTATCTTAGCCTCCACAGGGGTCATTCTCACTCTGTCCCGAATAACTTCATTCCTAATTCTATCCTACCTAGTATGTCCACACATCCATCTCAACATCCTCATCCTCATCTACTTTCATCTGCTAAACATGAGAGATTTTGACTGGCCAACACTCTGTCACATACAACATAGTCGGTCTAACCACTACCTTGTAGAATTTACCCTTAAGTCTCAACGGCACATTCTTATCACACAAGACATCGGAAGCGAGCCTCTACTTCGTCCACCCTGTTCCGATACGGTGTGTGACATCCTCATCTATCTCTCATCCCTGTGAATTGTTATAATTCTGTATTGCTGTAATAAACAATTAAACTTTCTGGAAAAACAAAACAGAAAGTTAGTAATAATTATTTAACGAAATAAATTCTGAAAAAACAGTATAGGAAGAATTTGAGCCCACTGAATACACAGTGTGTCCTTAAGGAAATTATTCCTCTCAAGTACCCGAGGTGTTGGAATATATCCTCCCAGGATCGAACGATTTAATTCACCGGAGTGTTGGTACCAAAACGCCGGTGAACAGCGAGCCACTCGAAGGCTGTAAAACACACTGAAATTTTTATTGCAACCTTTCAGAAACAGCTATGGCTGTTGGAAAAGGGTTGTTTGAAATATTGCGAAAAAAATATATTTAAAATAATCCGGTAAAGAAAATGGGCCTGACCGAATCGGGTCGCGGGTTATTCCGGATTGAATTTTTTCGCCGAAGCAGAAGCAGAAGCAGAAGCCGAGCGAGCGACACAACGCAAGGCTTACCTTTTTCTTAACTCTTTAAGAGCTAGAAGAAGAGTAATTATATATATACCCATCAAAAGCTTTTTCTTCCTCCGATATGGGACAATGTCCCTTTGCCAAGGGAAACTCAAATATTTTATTTTTCCTCCATTTCTCATTCACCCTTTTTAAGTTACACAAGCTTAAAATCCCAACAGAAATTATAGACCCCAGATACTTAAAACTCTCTCTCCTATGAATGACTTGCGTATCGAGTCTTATATCCACGTCTGCTATGACTTACGAATGAACTTTTATATAAGGTGAAGTGCTGTGTTAAGTTCCCTTTTTAATTTCTTTTTATTCCCCCCTTCCATTTTTACCTTTTATTTTATAACCAACATGAACCATTACATCTTAGCTAATTGGAAACATATTTAAAAATAACTACAGTTAGACATCTCTCTAAC